ATTATTAGAAATATAATATTAAAATAGTATTTATATTAGATATTACTATTATATTACCTTAGATAGTATATAATTACAAGCTAGATAGTAACTCTATACTATAATATATAAAAGCAAATATTCCTATACTTACTTACTAAGAAAGAAGATAATAATCTTACTCTCTTAATAGCTTACTTACTTAACTAAGAAATCTAGTATATAATCTTACTAGTAATAATATATCTAATATATAAGTAATTACTAGCCTTGTAAGTAATCTATTAATAGATATTACCTTTAAAGTAAGCAAGCTATACTACCTTACTTTTATAGTTATAAGCTATTATTTACATCTAATAGCTAGGCGGTATACTAAAAGCTATAATAATTTATATAGATAATATTAACCTATTCCTTAAGATTTTAAATAGAAATAAAAAGGTTTCTCTTAATAATTAAGAGAATATATCTAATTTAGTTAGGATTAATATTATATAGCTATCTAGATTATAATTCTAATTTTACTAAAGCTTAGTATCTATATCTAGTTGTAATATTATTTACTATACTAGGTACAATATTATATTTAGCTATAATTATAAAGTAGGAAATACTAATTCTATACTTATATATAATAAGAGTCCTCTTATAAAGTGAATGATGTATTTTTCTTCTTTCTGGAGCCATTTCTGGCTGTGATGTGATTTTTTGAAGTTGGGGATAGGTAAAGTAGGTGACGTGTTCGCGGCGTGTAATTAAAAAGGTGATCGAAACTTTTTTGGCCCCACTGTACATTCTCTTGAATTGAGCGCTCTCGCTTTTTGAGACATTGACCACGGTTGCACCTCGCAGTTGTGCGGTACCTTGCGACTGGCTTCCTTGTGGTCGCTACTGGCCAGAGTCGTGAAGCTCAGAGACACTTTCGGTTTTGTTACCCCCTATCTTCATTTTCCTTAGCAATTTCGAATTCGTTTTCATTCCTTCCTTACTACTGAGGTATATGTTTCCCGATAACCGCTCTCTCGACGATACATCAATAGCCAACCGATAACTCCAACAAGTAGAACCATTACCATATCCCTACGGTACCACATATCTAAGCTCACATAATATATCAGTCTCTCCTTTATTTTCTTCCTCATCATGTCCCACCACTCGTCATCAATGGGATTTTCAAGTATCGCATCGGCCACGGCCCCGCCAGCAAGGGTTGGAGGGAACAGAAGCCTTGTGTCTATTGGCAACCGAATAAGAAGTAGCTGGTCCAAATCGGTAGACTTCAAGCGATGCGGATTCTTATACAGTCCGGAGACCTTCGCTCCCCGATCAATAAGGCGTGTAGCAACGTTGAAGCGCTCGTTGTACCACTCTCGATCCGTGTATTGGTCGAAGTCGTGATCACTCTTATCATCACCTTTCTGTGTCTTGAAAACTGTTCTGACGCTAAAGCCATATGAGTATAGCGCATAATCCAGCGTTGTATGGCCCTTACCATCTAACGCGTTGATATCGACACCCTTCGCGCCTAGAACAGCATCGACTAGTTCCCTGGTAGACCAGTGTGACGCGGCAACATGAAGCATCAGCGTCCAAGAGGGCCAATAGTGACCGTCGGTAGGGTCCAGCCATCGCGTAGGAATGGGGGTGCTGACCTTAATCCCATTCTCGAAGAATTGTTGCAAGAGAAGTGAAACTCCGTGGAAATAACCGCGGAACCTGAATTTATTTGAATCTACACCTGCGGCCAGGAGGAGCCTGCCAGAGTAGCTATCTCGGTGTCGAGCGCTATGTGGAGCATAAATAAGATCCTTGATAACAGCTAGAGCTTTTCTGTTGCTGCTGTATTTCAGAAGCTCTTTGAGAACCATGTTGGATGTTTCTTTAGACATAGGGCCTCTGTGCAGGTAGTACCGGCAGAAGCTCTGAAGACATCGCTGCGAATCCTGGGGATTTGCTGTCCTCAACAAGTCCTCTAGTGTTCGCGGCAACTCGGCGAGAGTAGCAAATCCCACGAGATCGACTATCTCAGGGATCTCGTGCTCTGCCGTCTCTTTATCGATCTCCACAACAACTTCTGAAGACCAGCTTGTTTGCAAAAGTTGAGCCTGCGAAATCTGGGACACCTTTTCGGCAAGATGCGCATATCTCAAGAGATGGGATGGAGAACAGAAACAACCAGAGTCCGATTTCTGCATTGAAAACAGACCTAGTTTCAAAAGATAGAGAAAACCATTTCTCTTCTGTGGGACTTGAGCGGCTAAGTTGACGGCAGATCTCTTGCCTGCGAACGTCTTGACGCTTTGATGTAGGAATTGGACATTGTAAGAGGCCAAGTTCGTGTCTGTCGCATCAAGCTGTGACGGTTGCCATAGTTCACCACCACAATGACCACTAGAATGTCTGATCTCAACGAGGTTACCAGACCTACTCCTGACAAAACGGTACATTTCATCGACTGGTTTTAGGGAAACCGTCTCAGGAAAACCTGCACGGCCGTGTTCGGATGCAAGTTGGAAAGCCCACAGGAAGTCGCGGAGTGTCAGTGGATTAAACGCACATCTCACCAGTTCGAAGACGATGCTGCTTTCCTCCATGTACTTCGGATTGATGCGCTTTTCGACAATGTACTGGTAGAACTCGTGGAGATCAGTTGGCACTGTATCCAATGTTTTGTGTAGGTCACTGAGGCTTTTGCCGTCCGTGAACTCCGGTAGAAGCTCGTCGAGAATAAGCTTGATCCATAAGAATACCCCCTGAGCTAGAGAAAGAATTTTGCTTTTAAGCTTCTGGGCGGCTTCTTTCTCCTTATCCGTTCCATTTTCTAGGCATCGTTGCATTCGGCCATTAGCGGCAAATTTCGCGTTGACAAGAAGAGATATGTCGCCGTCAGTGTGTTCATGGATATGAAATCCGGGAAGGTCTGAGAGCTTATCCAGGAATACTTGTTCCATACGGCTGGAGAAGCAAATCTTGAGGGTCACAGAAGACTTTCGTTTCTTGGTGAGGGCTTGGAGGAACTCAACTATATGTGCACGATCGCCGGCGTATTCATCCAGTGCATCTAAGAAGAGGGAAATAGATGCAGCCAAGTTTCGCTGCTGCAATATGGAATCAAATGCAGCAATGAGAAAGTCGGTCGTCCACCGAAAGCGTTGGAAATTTATTCTATCAGTTTCGCCCCGGAAAGATTCATAGACTGATCCCATCAGTTCAGGAATGTCAGACAAGATCTTGTCAAGGATAGCCCTGAGCAGACCCTCGAATGACTTCTGAATATAGGCGCCACGATCATGGAAGAAGAATGACGCTGTAGAACATTTCGTATCGCTTCTTTCCAGCGCCGCTGCCGTCCGTGGATCTTTCAGGGCCATCTTCATCAAAGTAGACTTCCCCGAGGCTGGCTTGCCTCTGATCCAGTAAAGTGGGTTATCCGATCGTAACCAGGCTTCGAAACCTAGTGATTCCTTGGTGAAGAGCCATTCAAAGGTTCCCTCAAGGGCCGGCTCCACTTGGTCATACCGGAGCTGAGTTTCAGGCGCAGGTAAGTCCCTGATAGCTTGCATATACTTTTCGTCGCGAGCATATTCTATGGCCGAACGTTAGTCTTTGCTTGAAACTCGCTGCTTCAGAGCGTTGAGGATGTAGCAAACCGCACCTGGAACAGCTTTGGTTTTGATTGACTTTGAAAGCGCATTGAAGACCTTGAGGTAACCATTGTCTTTGAACCCAGAGAAGCGACACATGTGCCTGTGATCCGCATTGATCATGTCGATCTGCTCTCTCCCATAGCCTATCCGAGCTGACGAATCCCTGACAACTTTATCCATGGTAATTAGACCAATATCGAGGCGCTTTCCTTCCCGAAACGTGTAGACATCAAACTTGCTCTGTTCGTAGACGCGGGCGAAGTCATCAATCAACCTGTCAAGAATTACCGAGTCAACTTTCAGCTGTCTGAGGATCGAGCGATTCGTGTCGAACAGGATGGCGTTCGCTGCAGCTTTTAGCATGAGGCCCCACTCTGCTAAATCGCTGCCTCGATGCGGTGTACCGAGAAAGAGTGTAGCAATTGTCTGTTGATAGACTTCGTGCAGCTCCTCTCCTGGTGCCTGCCACGAAAGCCTCAACACCTCCTTCAAAAGCAACCCGCCCAGACTGTGCGCGACCCAGACTATGGCCCTCCGCCTGCAACTGTGGGTGGTTCGCCTTCCGCAGAGGTCGTGAAGTAGACTGGTCGCATGATCCGTTATGGTGCCCTGATTCGCCGCGCCGGCAAAGAAATGGCTGACATGGGAGTCGTAACCGTATGTCATGATGCGGCAGTTCGCAAAGTCGCGAGGAAGGAGGTCTTCAGGCCAGAAGCAGTCCTTATCACGATCGACTTCCCTGTGGAAGCGACTAAACACGCTCGGCTTTGACTTTCGTGGGTCTTCATAGTCACCGTAGTACCATGTCTTCTTCGGATGGCCTTGCAGGCCGTGAATTAGAACGATGCTGTAACAAACCGTGGATTAGCATAACAATTCAGGTTGGATCGCGAGGGCCTCCTACTCTGCCACAGCATGGGGAAAGTCATGGAGGATGGTGAACCCCTCATCTTGCACCTCCACCCTTGGTACCCGTACATGCTGATCTTCGTTGCCCCGGTTGCCCATGAGAAAGCGGGCGTGCCATACTCTTGGCGCGATGCTGAAAGGGAGTAGCTGAGTCTCTTTGAGCGAACGTACTAGCGAGGCGGGGATGAAGACGGTCTGGAGGAAGCTTGTAGATCAGAGTAGGTCGGACCGGGGTTTGGTTTGCGCTTTGCAATGGCGATTTGGGCTCGGGGATTATCAAGGTTGGCGCTGTGGATCTGCGATGAATAGTTATGAGAGGCGCGGCCTCCACGCGTATATCGCGCGATAGGATTAAGGAAAATGGCTAGCGCATTAACCTAGATAGCTCGGTCATAACCGTCGCTTTAATGATAGACAGTTTTTGATCTCTGAGCTGCGACTCGAGACACAGTGAGTAAATCGCCAGAAATCTAGGGCTGGTTGGTGGGGATTGATAGCTGCTAGGCATTCGTGGCTAAGGCCACTGGCAGCCACTGTAAGCACTTGCCCACGATAGCGGTCAACCACCTACGTCTAAGAACAGGAAGACATCGCTACATGCAAGTCAGAGAAGAGAGAATCCAACCCGTTTACTATCTCATATCTTAATACCTTGCTTACTAGCTAGGAGGCAGTCGCTTGCGACCTGCCTAGCGTGTAGGTGCCTTACATCAATGCTTTCTTACCGAAAGCAAGCCCTAGCAGTTAACGGTCTTGGTGGGAAAGTCCATTTGACACAGTCTGGTCACTTGGATGTATGAATGTACCATGGATTTCCGTACGAAAAATTGTATGGATTAAAGACTAGGGGGAAAACCTGGGCTTCTCGTCTTTGCACTAAGTACAAGCCCGTACTGTGGACGAAGGCATGTACCTAAAATTACCTAATCGATGTACTTCGTTGATGTGTTCGAGGGGCCCGAAAATGGCACCCGCCTACCAGCCAGAAACGGCATCCTCCACACCTCCACCTAAAGTTATTTTGGAAAAAGACTGCTTTCTGCTCCTTGATTCCAGCAGCTTAGTTTGTTCGTTGATGATATATGGTATGTTAAACTCACTAATACCAAGTTCATCGGGATGTATAAGAGTGAGTTGTTCGTCGAGTATTATTTCAATATCGTTTAATGAGACCAGCTTGGAGACTTAAAAGACTTGCATGAGTCTCGAGGAGTTTGGCTGCAAGTCTTTTTAGATAGTCAGTCACCCTAGAGTTCTGACGGGCTTTTAAGCGTAACGAACATTCAAACCAGCGCGTCGTTAATCAGAAGTCGAGCTATCATACCTTGATTGAAGCATGGCCGTTCCGTTGGGCAGCAAAATTCGGGCAGAGATGCATCGTTCAGTGTTAATAGACGCTTCTTGGATGCAGAGAGGCTCCTCCTCTTCGATCAACTTTGTCCGCCTCAGCTCTACAATATAAACTTCAAAAGCGGCACAATATGAGGACGTGCCTCAGCGCTGCCCTCTCACCTCTGAATATTCTGAGCCGTCAATCAGGCCCACCGCCTCCACGTCCTTCCAATATAAACCTATACGAGTAGAGCCCAGATGGCGTCGTTGAAATCTCAAGTTAAAGGACTGCGCCGAGAAAATGCATTCGGCAAGCACTTCATCCCCGAATGCCTCTTCTTCCAAACCATGACAGACGGCAGACTTAGAGAAGCACTGCAAGCGTCGGAAATCAAACCCTACCAACGTGAAGAAGTTTTCAATGAAGTGCGCCGTCGGGGAAAGAAATTCTTCGGCATCCTTCTTCTTATAGATTCCATAGTGTACCTACCAAGTTTCATCGAGAGAGGCAAGCTTGAGGATGTCATGCTTCCTCTTACGAAAGATGTTCTCACCGAAACCATCGGGTTGCCTGATGAGCAAGCGACTGACTTTGTCGAGAAACAGTGACTATTCGCAGTCCCAACCTTCCGGCGCGGTACCATCAACAGGCGCCTACCCATGGGCTCGGTCCTTCCGTTTGAACAGGAGAAGCGCATTGAAGGAGGTTCTTTCGGCCGTGTGTATGAGGTTATCTTAACCTCGGATCATCAGCTAACTGGCGATAATGTCTTCCCACAGAAGGTATTACTGCGACCACATATATGAGCAATATGCTAGAAAATGATGATAGATCCCACTCGTTCACTCATTAACACATACTCAAGTTCGTTAGGAAAGAGTTTGTGAAAGAAAAACGCCATAAGCGGGAACTCGAAAACCTCTCTATCCTCAATCACATCAGGCACCCTAATATTATCGAACTCTTGAGCTCTTACACATACAACGACGAGAGCCACAATCTGTTGTTCCCGCTCGTGAAACGCGGGAACTTGAAGGACTTCATGAAATTGGAACGCCGCGATACGGAAGACTTTTCTGATGAACTTATTCTGGTTGCCATTGCCGATTTATCTTCCGCAGTCGCGCACCTGCACCAGTTTTCTGAGCATACAATGGAAATGGAGCATATAGGATGTCACCACGATCTAAACCCGGAAAATATTCTCGTCTCGGAAACCACTTTTATACTTGCCGACTTTGGCCTCTCGAAAATCAACCCTTCTGCCGAGGGCTCAGAGGCGGCTTTTCGACCCAGAATTGACGATTATGTTGCCCCAGAGTGCGAAGATTGGGATAACGACCATGAGCCGGGCACGGTAAGAAGATCCAGCGACATCTGGTCCTTTGGGTGTATACTCGCCGAGGTCGTGACATACGTAACTCTAGGAAAGAAAGGAGTCGAAGATTTCCGTGCTGAAAGGAAATACCAGAGGCCGTGCAACACTCATTTTTCTTTTCACCTCGGGCCGAGAGAGTCAAGTGAGAAGGTCATGAACTGGCTCTCCAAATTGGAGGCGTCCTCCGCGAAGCCATTTTCTCTACTGATTCATATCGTTCGAGAAATGCTCGCTCTCGATTATTCCAAGCGGCCCAAGGCACGGGAGGTTACCCTCTTTGTTCGCGCTATTGTCTTATACCAGCTAGCTAGCGATATAAGTGATCAGTTCAGCAGGATTATGGACGTCTGCTCAGCACTCGATATTTTCATCGGAGACACCCGATTCATCTCTTGGAGGCATGCTGCAAAACTGATGAATGTCAATAATGGCGCTGATCTGGGTATTGCTGCTCGGGGCATGATTGACGATTTGGCTCATTTCCATACTGAGCACGACCGCCTGGTACGGCTCCGGGAGCATCTCACCAAGGCGACACCACATGGTGACACAGCTAATACGCTGGATATTTCGTTTCTTTCAAAGATAAACGATGAACTGGACCCCTTCCCAATACCCCGAAGCCCACTCGATGCAAACTGGCGAAAGTATTGATCGGAATCACACGCCGGTTTGGTCAACATAGCCTAGGCCAATTCAGCGATGACAAAGGCTCGCGCCGTATCTGGCTGGACTGGAGACGATATGATTGTCATCACAACTCGGATGAGGACGCCATGGCTCAACGGTATAGACAGAGCTCCAAGTTAGTGGAGCTGCTGCCTCAGGACAGGCCAGAATCGCTCCAGACGCCTCGCTGTGTTCTTTCATCGACCACAGACAGACTTCGGGCTCATATTCGATGTTCCTCGCGATGACTTAACGGCTTGAGGACACCCGTCGTGAATACAATCAAGAATAAGTCTCCGGCCGACCTAGACGATGGATTCAAGGTTGCGTCAGTTCTGGCCGGCGCTTTACTTGACTTCATTCTCTTGGTTGGCTCCGTAAGAGCTTTACGACGGAAAACACCATGTTCTTCAACTATCGCCTAATGGATCAACGGGTGAAGTCCTCCAAAGCACTTGGCTTGTTGAATTCAACCACAGCCGACGTGACGAACCCTTGGGCTTCACCTCTGGTCTGGCCGACACCCAACTTGACATGTACCAGCACCCGGTGTATCTTGAGGAGAGAAAGGGCTATCGAGCAGAATTCGATTACTCTAGCCTCGGCATAATACTAATAGAAACAGTCTATTGGGGCACATTTAACAAACTCTTTGGACGCTGGGAAGGGTCCTACGAGAGTCGACGCCGGAAAATTCTCGAACACCGGGTTCCGAGCCTAAGGCACATTATGGGGAGGGATTATTCTGAGGCAGTGAGGTATTGCATTGAGGGGGATATGGAAGACGCGGGCTCGACGACGATGAGTACGAAGGAAGTTCAGCTGCGGTTCACGCAGAAAGTAGTGGACCGCTTCGCGGGGTGTTTAGTTGGGCAGGTCAACGCAGAGAGCCCCGGAGCTAGGTCGAGGTCTCTAGTTGTAAAGCTGCAAGAAAAGTAGTTCATAGCATAGGTTTGCTTTAGCATCAGGAGAACATGGGAGAAATTAGTCTTCCTCTACTCGGCCGAAGAATTGCACTGCCCTATGATGTATCTACGATGGGCTCTATCTCATCCTAGGAGCCGACGGGTCACCCACAGAGCAAGCGAGATGCTCAACATATCATTGATGAGCAGAGACGTACATGTAAAATGCAGGTCCCATTAACTCTTCCAAGAGAGGAATATAGTATGATGGTTGGTGATGGCTCAGTCGGGAACTTCTCATCCTCGTCAAGATAGACACATCTCTCATCATGGGAATGCCAACTGCAGGAATGAACTTCAATAAACAAAAAACCTTCTAATAATTACACCTGTTTTGCTCATGTTTTTGTTGGCCCCCGCTGTGCTTCGTCCCATGAAACTAAACCGTTTCGTTATAAGTGCGATCAATAATAAAACCCTTCATAAAGTTATGTTTCCCTTCCCTGCCATCCGAACAATGCTAGATCAAACACAACGCCGAGTACTCAGACAGCAATAAAAAAAAAGTACAAGTGAAAAAGAAGAAAAAAAAAGGTGAAAAACAACCTTCGACGCGAAGGGAAAAGAAAAGAAAAACACCACTCGAAGCTCACGGCTTCGCCGAGATCATGACCAAGCATCATCTCAAGGCTCTCCCTCACGCAAAGCTGTCCTCAGCTAGCCACCTGCTCGTCACCGTATCTCCATCTCTCCTTTCATCTCTCTTGCGGTCCTCTTCACCGTCCCCAGGAAGAAGCCCTTCCCTAACAAGCGT